ACACCAAACTCAATATGCTTACTACTAAACAAATATATATATACTTAAAACTACACTCTCTATAGTGCTGTCATTTATTCAAATGTTTGAGCTAGAAACTCCAAAATTTTCCCTGACACTTTTGCTCTCCCTCACTGTCCATGTTCTGACTTCCTCCTCCCCCTCCTCCCCCTCCTCCTCCTCCTCCTCCTCACTTTCCTCTCCCTGTGCCCACTCCCTTCTTTTGCTCCTCTCCTCCAGATCTTTCTGTCCTATCTCTTTCTTCTTCCCAGTCCTCCTTTCTTTATTTCTTCTATTTCTCTTCTATGTAGAAAGTGCCATTGCACTCAGTTTCCCCTTGAACTCTAGACTTGCTTCCCTGTCCTACTCCTTTATACCATACCAACAACACAAGCAAACATCTTATCAAACTACTACTTTTGTAAGTTTTATTCTCAAAATAAATATTTGCATTTTGCCATTGACTTTTGTGACTTTGGGCAAAATACTAAAACTCTATTTGCTTCAATTTCCTTTCCTATAAAGTGGGAATAAGAAATAGCACCTAAGCCACAAATAGGAGAATTCAGTCTCAGCATTTATGAAAAGAGTGAGATCAGTGCCTACCATGTGGCAAAAATTATATGTGTATAAGCTTCATGTATATTTCTTAGCTGTCAGTGTTTTCTATTACTATGATGATTAGACTGTCTATTAGCTCTCTCCATTTTCCACTAATAGAGATTTTATAAAATATTAATCTATTAGGTAATATTTAAGGTAGGTAGTCTTCTGAAAAAATTAAGCAAGATTTTCATAGGCAAAATTTTAATAATTAAAAGCTTTAAACTTCCCTTTAAGAATTCAGTTTAATTTTCTAGGAAGGAGTAAAGATGTTTGTGGGGGAAAGTGTTGGGGAGAAATATCCCTAACAGCTGTATCAATTGGTGTTGGCCTGGCCCTGAAATATATAGGAAATTCTGTGACTTGGTTAAAGTATTGATAGTTTAAAATTGACGGCAGTTGAGGCTTTACACCATGGAAATTAGGTCAATGTTACAAATCAGGGCCCATTTAGCAGCATATCACTGTGTAATTTTGCTAAATACCAAGATCATTATGAAGTTTGATGTAATCATGAACTGTTTTACTGTTAATTTTAATATAGCATGAGGGTAAATTGTGCCTGCAAGATTTAACAATCTATCTATATCAGGGGTCCTCAAACTATGGCCCGCAGGCCACATGCAAATACAAATATTGTATTTGTTCCCATTTTGTTTTTTACTCCAAAATAAGATATGTGCAGTGTGCATAGGAATTTCATAACATCACAACCAAACAGCAGGGACCTGAGGCTGCATGGCGCCTCCCCAAGGCAAGGGACCTCAGGCCGCACCCCTGCCCTGTGGGGCTTGACAGGGGACCTCAGGCCACCCCCTTCGCCCCACGGGACATGATGGGAGACCTCAGGCCGCACCCCCACCCTGTCACTGGGCTGGGAGACCTCAGGCCATGCCCTCTGTCCCACGGGGCTTGACGGGGGACCTCAGGCCACACCCCCTGCCCAGAGGGGCTTGATGGGGTTGGGGCCGGCCGGGTCTGTGTCTCCTGTGTTTTCGAAGCATGTGCGGGTGGTGGGCAGGGACTTGACTCTAGGTCCCATGGCATGCCCCAGACTCTGACAAGAGGGAGATTTTCATATACATTTTACTAATTTTTTTTCATCTCTGACACTTCTATTATAGAGAAAGGGCAAATAGCAATATTTAAATATTTCCTCTAATTAATTCCCTTTTAATGTGCATGAATTTCATGCACCGGGCCACTAGTTACTGTATGTATTCGTAGTCAATGTAATAATTATCCTGGGTGTTAACATCATTCAACATCAAAAGAGGTCCCTTTTTATATTTTGTACTGGTTTCTTTGTATGCTTGTGTTTTTGAGTGATTGGTGACCAAGTGCTGTTTTTAACCATCTTAAAAAGTAAAAGTATTCTTTTATAATCAAAAGAAGAAATGTATTTAAAAGAAAAATTTACCCCCAACTTTAGAAGCAAGTGAGGGCAAATTCATAATTTAGGGTAATTTTTAAATTTTACCCATAACATTCCAATGGGAAGAAAATAATATGATAAAAATATCTTACTAGGCTCTGGATTATTGTTGTGAGAAAGAGTTATAATTCCCCTGTTGAAAAACTATCTCATAACATGCTTAACCGGTGTTGGCCTTTTTTTTTTTTTTTCACTCAGTGAAAAAACCACATGTAAGGTCGTTTTGAAACTGACTAGTTCGCCAGTTCCACTTCCTGTTGTGAGGAGTAAGATGTATCTTCAACTCACTGAAGTTCTCAAGGTTGTTTTCATTCTGATGTCAACCAATATAGGTTCCAAATTCATATATATCAAGTGAAACTGAAACTCCCTGTAATTGGTTATTTCTATAATATGCAGTCTGTTTCTCGTTGGGGAAATGGTTTCAACAGTTAATGCAGATGGTGAAATAATTTACTTTAAGAAAAGTGCTCTTATGGAGAGTTGACCCAGTGACTGAACTCCCCTTCCCCCCTTTAAAACAGTCTAAATAAAGTCCTTGCTTGATGTTGGTGAGCACCCTGTTGTAGGGATTGTCCTGCTTAGAGCTCCCACTTCTCATCCAGCCTGGGCACGGGAATCTCGTGCAGCCCAAGGACTAGTCTTGGGCAAGATTGAGACAAAGACTACAGTTTGCTTTGGGGCTGTCTCTAGAACCAGCCTTAAGTCGTTCATAAGGGATGGGTGGAGGAGATTCACAGGTTCCCTTCACAGATCCTATAGGGGTCCTCTTGTCCCTCTCTCTCTCTCTCTCTCTCTCTCTCTCTCTCTCTCTCTCTCTCTCTCTCATTCTTATTAAAGCTGCTCTTTTCCTGTGAGCTCTAGTAATGCAATTTCACCTTGTCAGTCTGGGGCCAGAACCCTCTAGGAACGTCTCTGTACAGCTAGCTCCTTTTCTCCCTGTTGCCTTGGTTCTTAGTTGGTCTTGAGTACTCCCTAGCTAGCCTCTTCTGGACCCACTGCTTTCAAATACTCCCACTATCCAAATTTACTCCCCTGCCCTTCGTCCTGGCTCTTGGATAAGTGTTAGCTCTCCAAATAATGTACATATTTGGGCTGAAATATTTTGTGGATAGCTACTATTGGTTTTACTGATCTCAGAGAACTGCATATAAAAAAAGCCATTTGAGGGAATGGTTGGGATTTTAGACCAGGATGCAGGAGTGGAAGATATTTTGTGAGGTGGAGATGAGACTAGGACCTTGATATGATAACATGCCTAAAGCTGAGTCATGTGTCTTGACTGCAACATGTCCATTCTTGACTAAATTGAGGACAATTATTGCCTTTGTCATGTCCTTGTTTTTCCCCACAAGGATGATTAATTTCTTTGGGGATAAAATTTTATTCTAACACTTGTAAAATAAAAAGTCAGTTTGTGATTTTCCAGAAAATATAATTTAAGCACTTTGACTTCATCATTGTTGCTGAAAGAAATACAAGTTTTACTTATCCTAAAAAGTTATTATGAAATTCCTGTTTATTAGACATGAAGTATTTGTTTATATCTATAATCATGTAATGTTATGTTATGTATAATCGTATAAAATAATGATTTTTAGTTTTCAGAATATTTTCACATACAGTCTTATTAAATATTATGAGACCTTAGGATTGGAATTATGAGTATCTTGATTTGACAAATGAGGAAGTGGGTTCTGAGTGGTAAATGAATTTTTTTCTGGGTAACAGCTGCTAATTATGACAGTCATGAATTGATTTCAGACTAAAATAATCCCATTCTAATTCTACTATATTATACTCCCTCTTTATATGTATAGTAGAACCATATACAAAAACTATTGGATCAATAGTTAGATATGTAGAATACTAGCCAGATGCATCTGGAATAATATAAGATGTTGTAATAAGGTGGCCTACCAACTTTTAGAACTGCTTTTCAATTATGTACAATTTTTTTTCAAATTCTTTACTTGTTAGCATAAAAATCTGTCATTTAAACCTGAGTAAATTCAGCTTAGATATTGTGAAGGGAAAAAAAGAAACTTCTTTAATCTAAAATGTCTTTC